AATCAAATTGATTTTAAAACTTCTACGTATATAACAAGATGCAGCCAAGCTCAGAGTCCAATGGTGCCGGCATTTCTACAATAAAGGGGATTGAAATCGGGGATGACTCCACTTTCCGTGATTTCCTTGACCTGCCATAGCTTTGAGCTGTCTCACCAGCCTATCCGACTGCATTCAATTTCAAATCACTTAACTTTGTTAAAGTTATTCAAAACAGATATGCAAAACTTAGCCTGGGATTGAAAGAAAATGCTGCCATTTATATTTTTGAATAGGTAATATTTTGTGTGTGTTAATCTTCACCTGAGGATATTTTTTCCATTGATTTTTTAGAGAAAGTGGAAGGGAGGGAGGGAGAGGGGGAAAGAGAGAGAAAGATCATGCACGAGCCCCAATCTGGCCTGGCCAGGGATCAAAACTGCAACCCACCATGTGCTGTTGACCAGGAATAGAACCCAAGACCCTTAGGTCCACGGGCTGATGCTCTAACCACTGAGGAAAACCGGCCAGGGCTAAATAGGTAATATTTTGACCAAGTTATCATCTCCCTACTCTATATTACTTGGCTTTAAGCCATGGGTCTAATTTTGAGAAGAGCTAGAGATAAAAGTTCTACTGGCTGCTGGGAACTATGCGCCGCTGAAAAACTTCATGTTCAGTTCCTTTAATTATACAGAAGTACAATATCTGCTGTGTGTAAGGTTAATGACCATTAACAGGGAAGTTTTTTTAAAAAATCATTTAAAAATGTAATCTCTTTGAAATTGCTGAACAGTAAGAGTTACCAATAAGGCTGAAAGGTTGAAGGGAGGCCAAACTTAATTAAGATGATGAACTAAAAAACCAACTGGAACTAAGTATTGTTGCTAAACTGATTTTATGGTAGGGATCAATTAAAGCAAGTATCTATCATTTAAAAATATGTCTATAACCTTACTTATTTAGAGAAAGGTGATAGAAATTTCTTCATAAACTACATTTATGATTGCCATGGGAGGGGAAAATTCATATAAAAATAAAAATTGCATGCTGACTTATTAAGTAGTTTGAAAAGACATTTCATTCTTTTATGTTATACTGCATATGTACTAAAATAAAATATTGGTATTTTCTAATAATAGTGATTGGATTAATCATTGGCTGAGGAACACTTGGTTATATAAACCTTATTGGATGGTATTTTGTGTAGATCAGGATTATAGTATTCATGCTGCATTATAGCAAATCTGTCCCCTTCCTTATGATTGGAAGCAACTTGAGGGCTGGGACTGATGTTGATTCTGAGTCCCCAAGCCCAGCAAAGTACATAGCATATAGTAGGCACTCTGTAATATTTTGGGAGTAATTGAGTAAGTAAACAAATGAATGCTATCAAGTATGTGTGGAAATGAACAGTTGTTACATGGGGAGAAATAACTCCATTCACAAGCAGGGTGTTCTGGATAAAACATTCTGCCACTACCACCCCAAAGCAGCTAAACACAGTCTTCATAATATCTTTGGCTCATCTGGATTTTTGACACTTTGCTAAATGAATGGATTTTTGGAGTTCTGACCACAAGTAAATACATTAATACCAAAACATAGGCCCACTCTGGGATTTTCTAGAGTGTGCATCCCAACGTGAAGACCATCAGCTAATCTTTGCTACACCAAGGACAGCCGAAGGCACACAAGTATAGAGCAAGCCAAACTCCTTAACCCTTTTTGGTGTTTACAACATCATCTCCACATGCTCAGCGAAGAAGCCATAGGCTAAAGTTCTTGTGACTCGAGATTCCAACACAAATTTAACAAAATATATCCTTCACCCAAACATTTGTTCATTTCAATAATGTTTTCAGCTCTTCCATGTCCCACCTGTTTCCCATTTAATGCAGGATAATAATACGACATAATCTACTACCTACATACTTCCCTGAATAATGTGAGAATGAAATTGCAATATGGAAAATCAATATGGGACAAGTTGCTCTGGGAATTTGTATCAAATTAATTATTGTGAGGAAGGGACTAGTAATATATCAATAGTATGACTAGGCGTTATTACCAACATAACTATTGACTATACTGTCCTGAGCTCCAGGCACTGTGGAAATGCTATATGAACACCAGTGCTGACTATACTTTTATTTCCTTCCTTTTGGCATTTGTATTTCTGTCTGAATATCAAACGATAGTGGATCCTGTGGTTTTTATCCACTCTGGTTATCATCCTTGGGGTTCTGATGGCTTTTCAGGGTTTATTGAACTTACTAAGTGTGGGGGAACCAAACCCCTTCCGAGGCCAGGAGGAGCTTATTTTCAAATGAAACCAGCCTAGCCATCCAAATCGGAGGCCGATGAAGAACAGAAATTCAGTTTCTAACAAATCTACAGAGACTATTAATACACACGAAATGAAGAAACTATAGCGCTGTGAAGGAATCAGTATGTTCGAATAACTTTAGATTTCTAATGGATAGGCACATTTAGTGAAATGTTCACTTAAAAATTTTATAAGAATTATGAATGCTAGCTGTTACTGCAATATTGGAAATTAAAGTTCCTACAAAGAGATGATTTCAGATTGTGGAATTTTGATTTTCTCATTAAATCTATGGAAACATTTAAATTTAACAATTTAAACATCAAATCCTCCCGTAATTTTGTACAAATCATTGCTAGTTCTTGCAACACTATCTACATTTTACATCTTTTAAAGAATACTTTATAAATTTTTATTTTTATTTCCTTCAAAATTTGCACCCAAATAGAATAAGAGTTATGATGATTTCTGGTTTAGTTAAATGAATGTGTACTTTATATTAATTACATGTATACCATAATTTGAACTTTAATATTACCAATACCGAACTTCCAAATAACAAGCTTTAAATTTAGGCAGTCAAAAGCCACCTTAAAATTAATGCATATAAATTACAAAGTACTAATTTTAACAAGCAACACTAAATTAAAACCTGTCTTAAGATTAGTGAATGAAAAGTGGGGTCCATATCCTGCCTCTAAATGGGTTACATTATTTAAAAATACACAGTCACTGCTATGTGCAAATTTTCTTATGTTATTGGACTTTAAGCCTCATGGGGCCTCCTACAAAATAAGGTCATACGTAAAATAAAACAAAACCAAATAAAAATTCCCCCCGAAGTCAGGCACTGACAGTGCCACTAGGATGTGACACCACTTTGAAACTCTCTGAGCTTTGCCTCTATTGGCAGAGGGGAACGAGAAGTCTCTAAACGCTCATTGGCTGTGCGACACAGACCTAGCAAAGGTCTCCATCTTCTTCAGCCGTGGAAACAGCCAGCATTAATTTGCATTCACCCCATACATACAGACTCTCATCTGTGGTTTCTAGGCATGGGAGAAATTGGGCTACTTTTAAATCTATTTTTAGCTATACAGAGCCACTAAATATCATTTGATCTGGGTCTGAGGAATATTCCCAAAATTGTTTTTTCATATTCATGAATGTGTTGTTTCCAGTGGCTTTTAATTTCTACACATATCAAACAAACAAAAGCAATAGACTATCTAGAAATGTCTGGGAAATAGCTAGATATTACGGAATCAATGGAACAGAATTAGAAATCCTGTGTGTGTGTGTGTGTGTTTGCAAATCCATTAGAAATTCCTTGGTAGCAACCCTTTCCATTTCAAGGCTCAATTTTGTGAAATATCAGGAGGGAGGTGGAAGTTTCCGGGCAAATACCACTGCCTTTGTGACTTCACATTGTACACTTTAGATTGTAACAGAAAAACCCACATTTAACAATTTTATCATATTAGACTCTTAAAGCAAACTTGTGAAAGGTAATTTCATGAATTTTCAAGGGGCATAAGACTTAATGTGTGGAAGCGATAATATAAAAACATTTAAAACATTCTAACAAACAGGTAAAGCCAGAATACACAAAAAGCCAACTTGTGTATTTTACGTAGACTCGGTGTGGCCACTAACCAATGGTATACCACAAAATTATTCTTAGTAACAGCATTGTCAACTAAAATTGGCTGTTGAACAATATTTATAGAATACACTCATGAAATAATTTGAAAATATCTGACAATATACAAAGCTTTCTTCCCATGATATAAAGCTATTTTCCTCCATTAAAATAGACACTTGCCTTTTGCCACTTAAGATACTGAGAAGTTTCCTTTACGAGAAAATAAAAACAAAGGTTTGGAGACCTTTTTCATTGTACTTTGCTGTTATATAAGATCCCTTTAAGATCCTATTTTCTTTATTTCTGCTCCCTACACCACTCTTTCTCCCTCTCCCTCACTTCCTAGCTTGCTCTCTCTGTCTCATTTGACAGGCAAATTTGCAGACATTGCCGCAGGATAACAACCTCGTTTGACAGTCAATTAACCGTGAATAGTCAAAGCCAAGGCAGTTTGCATTACATAAATGGAAAATTAGATTCCTTTTTCCCAAGAAACAAAACCCTCTCCTTAAGACACTGCAATAGACAACTTAGTATCAAAACTTCTAATCACGTCTTTCCCAAACCCCTTGGAGACATTTAGCAATCAGTAAAAGGTGGTTTCATTTAATTTGTATAATGTAATTTTTGTAAATGTATTATACATTTTGTGTAGAGATCATTATCATGGAGATAATATAAATGTTGGCATAGATGTCATAAAACACCTTTAATGTCTTTCTGACAGATATTAAAAGCAATAAGCTGTGATCCTTTTTAATGGAAGGTTTCTTACAGAACATTTCAATTATTGTCATTTTATGCTTTTCCAGCCTGTTCCATTGTGTAACCTGATATATTTCTGAATTTTCTTCTGAAATATGCCCAGCAATTAATAATCTTATTGCTATTAATGTCACTGCTTTCCCATTTGTGTTTTTCTTAGTTATATCTACTAGGAATTGTTTTTCATCTTTACCCTTGTACTAAATATTCACTCTTTTGATTATGAATTTCAGCCCCTCTTTCTGTCATCTGACTTCATTCCTCCCGTTTGTCTCAGCCTACCTGATCTTTCTCTCCAAAAATCTCCTCCGGAAGCGTCAGAGTCTGTGATGAAAAAGCTATGCTCCTTGTTCTTATCTAGAACCAAACAAAACACAGAATCTACAAGTGATCACACTGACAAATGGGAAACAAAGATATCCAAGAATTGTAACATGTATTTATGTATTTGTGAATGTTTAGAGTGTGGGCAGGCATCATTTAGATGCAAAGAGGTATGTTGAGATTGGGGCAACGACACTGTTACTTGGAAACTTCCAGTGCCTGGAAACTATAAAAACACTTCCCTTTAATATATAAACCGTGATATCCAGCCCCCCCCCC